GTTTTGCCATGTTGATCAGGCCGGTCTCAAATTCCTGACCTCAAGTGATCTGCCTGCCTTGGCCTCCCAGAGTGCTGGGATTACAGGCATGAGCCACCACACCCGGCCTCTTTTAACTTTTAGTTGAAGTGTAACATGCATATAGATACTTTCGGAGGCTGAGGCAGGCAGATCACTTGAGGTCAGGAGTTCAAGCCCAGCCTGGCCAACAGAGTGAACTCTCATCTCTACTAAAAATACAAAAATTAGCCAGGCATGGTGGCGGGCACCTGTAGTTCCAGCTACTTGGGAGGCTGAGGCAGGAGAATTGCTTCAACCTGGGAGGCAGAGGTTGCAGTGAGCCGAGATCACACCACAACTCTCCAGCCTAGGTGACAGAGCAAGACTCTGCCTCAAAAAAGAAAAACAAAACAAAAACCATGCGTATAGAAAAACTGTGCATACAGAAAGCTGGTCATCAGTGCACAGATCAAGAAAGAACCTTTACAGCACCCCAAGAGCCCTTCGCATGTCTCCTTCCAATACCTAGCCATCTTCCTCCCCAGAGTGTTTCTGACTTCTAACAACACAGATTAGTTTTGCCTGTTTTGCACTTCATATGAATAGAATCATACGTATGTACTCTTTTGTGTTTGGATTCTTTTGCTCAGCATTATGTAGATAATATTCATCCCTCTTTGCTCAGGTGGTTGTAGATTACTCGTATTGCTGTATAGTATTTCATTGCATAAATAGACCGCAATCTTCCATTCTTCTGTTGATGGGCATTTGGGTAGTTTTGAACTTGGGGCTATTATGGAGTGCTGCTGTGAGCACGCTGATACATGTCCTTTGGGGGCCGTATGGAACATTTTGAACCCAGCACTGCTAGGGTATCTTGAAGACCAGTGGCTTTTAGCACATTGGCTTATAGTGTTCTGGGCTATAGATACTGGCATATTCATAGTGGGCTCTATCAGCAGTGGCAGTGGTATAGCAGCGCCCTTAAATGGCTTCATGAGTAGAGGACGTTGAAAAGAGGGAACCAGAGCAAAAAAGGAAGAAAAAGATGGACGCTGTATGAAGGACCATGACTGACAGACTGGTTCATGAGCCTATTGAGACAACCCTGGCATGAACTCCAGGCTACTGGCTACTGATAGGGATATAATTTTAAATTATAGCCACAACCAATAGAGTTTTGGAGACATCTGAGTTGCCCGCTTTTAAAATTTTTATTTTAAGTTCGGGGTACATGTGCAGATTTGTTATATAGATAAACCCATGTCATGGGGGTTTGTTGTACAGATTATTTCATCACCCAGGTATTAAGCCTAGTACTCAATAGTTATTTGTCCTGACTCTCTCTCTCCTCCCACCCCCCACCCTCCAATAGGCCCCAATGTCTGTTGTTCCCCTCTATGTGTCCATGTTCCCACTTATAAGCAGGAACATGCAGTATTTGGTTTTCTGTTGCTGCATTAGTTTGCTAAGGATAATGGCCTCCAGCTCCATCCATCTTCTTGCAAAGCACATGATCTTGTTCTTTTTTATAGCTGCATAGTATTCCATGGTGGATGTGTACCACATTTTCTTTATCCAGTCTATGATTGATGGGCATTTATGTTGATTCCATTCTTTGCTATTGCAAATAGTGCTTCAGTGAACATACATGTGCATGTGTCTCTATAATAGAATGATTTCTGTCCCTTTGGGCATATACCCAAAAATGGAATTTCTGGGTCAAATGGTAGTTCTTTCTGTCTTTACATCTTTGGGGAATCATCACACTGCTTTCCACAATGTTTGAATTAATAATTTACCCTCCCATCAACAGTGTATGTGTTCCTTTTTCTCCACAACCTCGCCACAATCTGTTATTATTTTGACTTTTTGTAATAGCCATTCTGACTGGTGTGAGATGGTATCTCATTGTGGTTTTAATTTCTCTAATGATCTGAACACAGGAACCAGCAAAGATTTCATTATGAAGATGCCAAAAGCAGTTGCAACAAAAGCAAAAATTGACAAATGGGATCTAATTAAACTAAAGAGCTTATGCATAGCAAAAGAAACTATCAATAGCGTAAACAGAAAACCTACAGAAAGGGAAAATTGTTTTGCAAACTATGCATCTGACAAAGGTCTAATATCCAGCATCTGTAAGGAACTTAAATAAATGTACAAGAAAAAGACAAATAACCCCATTAAAAAGTGGGCAAAGGACATGAACAGACACTTCCTCAAAAGAAGAAATACATGTGGCCAACAAGCATATGAGTTCCCCTTTTTTTATACGCTGTGAGGGAACTGTGTCTTACTTATTTTTGTGTCCCAGAAGCTAGCACAAAGCCTGACACACAGCCACTGCTAACAAAATCTTTGTGGATTTATTTAATAAAAGAGTTGGGAGTAGGTGGAGAATGGAGGGTGGGGAGCATCACACATACATGCACATGCTTAAAATATGATGATTTCTTCCTGAGCTGACCAGACCAAAAATATAAATAAAACAGAAACAGGATCTGTGCCATGGGTCCTGGCCCTTTTTTGCTTCTGCCAGCATGTGTGAGGAGATGCAGAGATAAATTCCGTGGCAGTTAGAAAGAGAACCGACTGCCAAGATGGAGCGAAGGGAACATTTAACCTTGACTTTCCACAGTCCTGAGGTTCCCAAGATAAAGGGGAACCGGAAATACCAAAGGGTGAGGAGGTATCTAATTGGAAGTCAGATGGGAAAAAGAGGACTTACTTAAAGGCGGGGCTACATAGAGCATCCAAAGACAGAAAAGATCACCCTGAAAATTGTGGTTTTTTTTTTTTTGTTTTTTTTTTTAGGAGTAGGGAAAGATATCCTTAAATCAAAGACACATGGGAATGCTTGAGATAGAGAAAAGCAGGTGACCCTGGGGATCAGGGGTTATCCTTTCGGGTAGGCAATATTTCCCTCATCCTTGTAGCCTACCCTCCCTGCCAAGAAACATCCAAGTGCCTCGATGTCATCCCAAAGGCGGCAGCAGCTTATGGATCAGGCACACATCTACATCCGAATACTCTGTGGCAGCCTCTGTAGTTTTAGCCTCCTAATGCTGATCGCCATGTCCCCACTGAACTGGGTACAGTTCCTGGTGATCAAGAATGGCCTTGAGCTCTACGCAGGACTCTGGACCTTATGCAACCATGAGCTGTGCTGGAACCACACACCCAAGCCACCCTGTGAGTGCCACTGAATTAAATGCCACAGGCCCCACACAATTGCAGAGATTTCTGCTCACACAGATTGGCCCTTCATCTTTCTTCCTCCAAGATCTTTTCTTTCACCTCTCCAAGTGCAGGATGGATCTTTCTTTGGTATCCTCAGTGTGCCCTTTCTCCCTTCTATTCCAGGTCGTTTTCTGTCCTAAATAATGGGTTATACTCTTTTTACTTGATGGGAAGAACTGTTTTGTTTTATTTTGTTTTGTTTTGTTTGTTTGTTTTTAGAGACAGGCTCTTGCTCTATCACCTAGCCGAAGCGCAATAGCACTATCATTGCTCACTACAGCCTCCACCTCCAGGGCTCAAGCAATCTTCCCGCTCAACCTCCTGAGTAGGTGAAACTACAGACGTGTGCCACCACTCCTGGCTAATTTTTAATTTTTTTTTTTTTTTTTTTGGAGAGAAAGTTCTGATTATATTGCCCGGGCTGGTCTCAAAGTCCTGGCCTCAAGTGTTCCTCCCAAAGTACTGGGACTATAGGTGTGAACTACCATACCTGCCCTAGGAATAACTCATTTACAAGGTGTTACTGCTAAGCAATGTGATTGGTATTCTAATGTGGCTTGCAGAATTAGAAGAGAAGTGATTGATCATAGCTGGAAGATAAAGCAAATATCTTAACCTCTATTAGATTTAACTTTCAAGGTCAGCTTGTTCTTCTCCTAGCAGTGGAATAGAATTTAAATGTACGTTAGATATGTGGTATAACAAATGCCGGCTCTGAAGATAATATTATTTATGTCAAATTTTATGTGAATTTAAATAAATCTGAAAGCGCAACACAAAATATTTTAATATAAGTTTTGGGGGCTAAAAATATCATATGCATGAGTTTTTCAATCAAACCAAAAACTTAGAGGAAAGATATCATTACACTGACAGTTTTCCCATCACCCACAAGACATAAATTTATACAATGAAAGGGGTATTGTGAAAGAAAACATGTGTGAGTAAAGCATCTATTCTCACATAAGCAGGGATCCCATCTATTCTCCTCACATAAGCAGGAGGGGAGCACCTGTGCCCAACTCTGAGGTAGAGCATCAGTTATTTGGCCATGGGCTGCGACATTTGAAATTAAGGGACAGTTTCCTGCATGATCTTGAGAAGAAATTAAAATCAAAGGCAGGCAGACAATTCAACTGCATAAAATGAAAACTAGAGAAAATATTTGCAACAATTATGAAAGATAAAGGTTAATGGCCTTAATATAGTAAAAGGATACACAAAGTATTAAAGACACAAACTCAAATAAGTTCTTTTTCAATCGACATGCACAGAAGAAGAACTATAACTATCTAATAAACATAGGAAAAATAATTTAACCTCAATCAATCATTAAAGAAAGGTAAATGAATAACAAGATGTAACTTTTCAACCACCATATTAACAGATTTTTAAATGATGATGCAACTGCTATACACTCCCATACGCATTCCTGTACATACCATGCAAATTGGTATAATCAAAGCAGTATGATTAGGTGCATCCAGAGACTTAAAAAGGTTCATCTCCTTTGAGTAAATAATTCCATTTCTAGAAATTAATTCCAAGGAAATAACTAGAAATGGATTAAAAGATTTAGGCAAAAAGATAAAACTGCAGTTATATTTATGTAACTGGGTGCCCATGTTAAAATTTCGGCCTTAAGATTATTATTTAAATCTTTAATAAATTAGGGCTGGGTGTGGTGGCTCAAGCCTGTAATCCCAGTGTTACCAGAAAGGGGTCCTGATCCAGACCCCAGGAGAGGGTTCTTGGATCTTGGGCAAGAAAGAATTTGAGATGAGTCCATAGAGTAAAGTGAAAGCAAATTTAAGAAAGTAAAGAAATAAAAGAATGGCTACTCCATAGGAAAAGGAGCCACCAGGGCTGCTGGTTGCCCATTTTTATGGCTATTTCTTTATTATATGCTAAAAAAGGGGTGAGTTATATTCATAAGTTTTTGGGGAAAGAGGTGGGCAATTCCTGGAACTAAGGGTTCCTCCTCTTTTTAGACCGTATAGCGTAAATTCCTGACATTGCCATGGCATTTGTAAATTGTCATGGCACTGGTGGGAGTGTCTTTTAGTATGCTAATGCATTATAATTCACATATAATAAGCAGTGAGGACGATCAGAGGTCACTTTTGTTGCCATCTTGGTTTTAGTGGGTTTTGGCTGGCTTCTTTACCACAGCCTGTTTTATCAGCAAGGTCTTTATGACCTGTATTTTGCGCTGACCTCCTATCATTCAGTGACTAAGAATGCCTTAACCTCCTGGGAATGCAGCCCAGTAGGTTTCAGCCTTACTTTAACCAGCCCCTATTCAAGATAAAGTTGCTCTGGTTCAAACACCTCTGACATCAGCACTTTGGAAGGCTGAGGTGGGGGATCGCTTGAGTTTAGGAGTTTGAGACCAGCCTGAGCAACAAGGCGAAACCCTGTCTCTACAAAAAATACAAAAATTAGCTGGGCATGGTAGTGGGCACCTGCAATCCCAGCTACTTGGGAGGCCGAAGTGGGAGAATTGCTTGAGCCTGGGAGGCAGAGGTTGTCGTGAGCTGAGATTGAGCTACTGTACTCCAGCCTGGATGACAGAGTGAGACCCTGTCTCAAACAAAAAAAAAAAAAAAAAAAAAATTAATGCATTAGAATCCCAAAATTATGTCACTTAAGCAGTGAATAGTTTATTTCTTGAAGCCCTAGATTCACCTTTATGCAGATAAAGAAAATCAAGGAAATCAAGCCAGCCAATCACTCAGATTTTATAGAGTCACTTTGTCACTCATCTTTTTTTATGCTTTGTTTTATCTCTACAGACTGTGATTATTTAAAGTCTACTGAATCCTTAAGGTACACAAGTATAAATCAAGTATCCACCCTATTTTCCATGTTATTATAACTAGTTCTAATTCAAGAGTCAGTAATTAGGCTGCAATACAGATCTCATAAGAAATTCCCCAAAATGTAATCAAAATTTCCAGGCCTTATCTCCCTGTGACAACAATATAATGTTATTATTGCCCGAATACATTATTATTTATTTATTTATTTATTTTTGAGATGGAATCTCATTCTGTCACCCAGGCTGGAGTGCAGTGGCGTGATCTTGGCTCACTGCAATCTCTGCCTCCCGGGTTCAAGCGATTCTCCTGCCTCAGCCTCCCAAGTAGCTGGGATTACAGGTGTGCATCAGTGCGCCCAGCTAATTTTTGTGTTTTTAGTAGAGATGGGGTTTCACCATGTTAGCTAGGCTGATCTTTTTTTTTTTTTGAGATGGAGTCTTGCTCTGTTGCCCAGGCTGGAGTGCAGTGGCGTGATCTCGGCTCACTG